AACCTACCATATTAAATAACAGAAAGTCCATCATAGTCTCATAACCCTCAATAGTAAACAAACCAGAACGATAGACACGGTCTACCACAGTAGAACCCCTCCCCTCCTCCCCAAACAGGTGTAGACACATAAACAGAGTACAAGAATCACGAAATATACCCATATATGAAGAAATATAGAATGACTCATACCAATAAATAGGGCCCGAATCAAATAAAACAGATGCATCCCTATGACAAACCAAAACAATACCAGTAATGACATTATCTGGTGCAGCAACCTCCATCCTACCCGCATATCCCCCATCTCTAACTGGTTGTGCAGGCGTTGTAGCAACTGGAGCGGAACCCATAGCCTGAGTAATCTTCTGGGGTGTACCCACCTGGAGTCTGGGAGAATCTCTCACCATGTGTCTGGTATCCCCACACTCAAAACAACCTCTGTTGACGTGGATGTGGGAGTTGTACGGAATGAGTGCTCTAAGACCCATGGATAACTGGAGCACTACGTGAAACCTGAAGTGCAGACTGAACTAGTTGACCAACAAAGCCTCCACTATGACATGCTCTGCCCCCAAATTAGGGACTAGTAGATCCTCCAGGTCCATGAGGCTTCTTAGCCTCCATATCCTCCCTCTATAGACCGTGAATACACTCCAACATCGTAGCGATCTCCACAACCTAATGAAATGGATTATCAGTCTCCAACTCCCGCACCATCCCATATTTGAGACCATAAGTGAGTCACTCAATAAATTTGCGAGCTCTCTCCCTAACAGTGGAAACCAAAGCAGGTGCGTGATAAGATAACTCAGTAAACCTTATAGCATACTCGGACACAGTCATAGTCCCCTAGCGCAACTGCTCAAACTAGATGCGCAACGCATCCTTGAGGGTCTGTGGAACGAACTCCCTCAAAAATAGATCAGACAACTGAGTCCAAGTAAGTGGCACTGCACCGGCTATCCTACTCTCCTCATAAGCCCGCCACCATCTATACGCTTGACCCGTCAGCTGGAAAGTGGTAAGGGTGACCCCGCTCAACTCCATTATGCCCATAGTGCGCAGAATAGGGTGACACTGGTCTAGAAAATCACGTGCATCCTCAGAAGCTGCGCCACTGAAGTAGGAGGGAAATATTTCTTGACCCTCTCTAACCTCTTCTGCTCCTCCTCTAACGCCACCGGCCAAACCTCAGGCTAAACCGCAATCACAGGATGCACCGGCATAACACTTGAAGCCTGACCAACATGAGCCCGCTGCTCTGGAGTACGGGCGGCGGGAGTCTGAGCTCTTACCTAAGCCTGAGAAGTAGCTGGTGTAAATGGGATCAATCCTGCCTGAGCAAAGGTACCAAACATGCTCAGAAAATGTGTCGAAGTCCTGAAGTCCAGGAGTAGTAACAAGCCCCTCCGGTGCCTGCTCCCCAATCGGAGTTACTGGTGGCCCCTCAGTTGATGCTCCGGCAGGTGCTCTAGTTGTAGCACGTGCCCCTCTTCAGCCTCTACCTCGGCCCCGGCCTCTCGCGGCTCTAGTATGGGCAGCGAGTGTCTACTCAGCTGATCCAGTAGTGAGTGTCCTCACCATCTGTGAGAGAATAGAAATACAAAGGCCCAACTCCAAAATCAATAAATTCGCACGATAGGAATGAAAGAAGTGGTATTTACTAACAGTTTCGTAGTCTCTCGAAGATAAGTACAGACGTCTCCGTACCAATCTGCAAGCCTCTACTAAACTTGTTCGTGACTCGTAGAACTTATGAGCCTAGAGTTCTGATACCAACTTGTCACGACCCAAAATCTCACCTTTAGGATCGTGATGGCACCTAGTACCTAAACTAGGTAACTCGATCACTAACAACAGTTAGACCAATAAAAATGATATTATGAAGCAGAGTTTAATACAAACGATAAAATAAAAGTGATACAAGCCAACACGGCGATATACCAATAAGTTGTACTCTTTCTTTGTAGAGTAAGCAAGACATTTCTTCATTGGCATGGATATACCAGTAATAGCAGAACCAGAGCTGGTTAAAGAATTGTTGAGCAACAGAGATGAATATTTTCCAAAACAACCAGTCGATAAATAAGTCAAGAAAGTAACAGGAGACAGTATTGTAGAACCCGAAGGTGAAAAATGGACGAAACTGTGAAAACTAACAAACTACGCCTACCATGGAAAAGTCTAAAGGTACAATCTACCACTATCCTAAAGCATTCCTGTCATCTATTCGTTTCTGTAATCTTAATCATGATGTTGATTGACCACTGAATGTCTAAAGTTCTCGACTAACAATGAACTACGCTAATGATATGATATTCAAATATAGATTAATATGGTCCCAGCAATGGTTGAAAGTGTTGGCTTGATGCTCAGAAGGTGGAGAAACTATGACGGGAATGAATTATAAATTTGTGAAGAGTACAGGAGACAGGAAATTGATATCAGAGGTGATTTCAAGAACTGCATTTGGTCGTAATTACTTAGAAGTTGGTTTTTATCGTAGGAAAAAGGACGCACAAATTTAAATTACCTGCCATGAGGTATTTCCTCTTAAGAACTTTTTCCAAGTCCTATAAATACTTCAGGAAGTCCTTTAACGTGTCCAGAATCTTTTCCGTAATAAGCTTTGCCAAATGTTCTAGTCATCCTTGATCTGTATTATTTTTCGACAACCTATATAGTCTTAAAGACAGGGATGACACAGAAGCAGACAAACTTGAAAGAAAAATCCAGCAACTTTTCACGGAGAGAATCAAGAAAAGAGTGTGTGCAATGGTAAGCAATATGAACAGCATTACGACAGATTATCTTGGAATGCTTTTGAAAGCTAATCATGATACTGCTGGAAGAGACAAGATCATATTTGAAGAAATAATTGATGAATGCTGAACAAGAAATAACTCAGACATTGCTCTCATGGACTATTTTTCTTCTAGCACTGCACACTGACTGGCAAGACAAAGCAAGAGAAGAGGCACTAGACTTACTTGGTCAACGATATCAAAATTCTGAAGACATCAAAACTAAAAATAGTATGGGAACTATCAACAGCTCCTTCATTTTTCCATTATATTAAGATTTTTTCAACTTTCGCGTCCCCTGGAGATGACATAGGGTTCTCTAACTTTCAAGTTTCCTCTTTTGGCACAGACAAAGGTGGCAAACGGACGGATCGGGTCGGAAATGGGCGGGTAAAAATAGATAAATTATCTGACCCAACTCATATTTAATACTGATAAAAAAGCGGGTTCCATATTATCCATAGCTTTTTTAATATGATCACTTTTTGTGGAATTCCTAGTCTTCCAGACTTGAGAAACCCCCAATTTAAGGGTTCACAAATGTAAAAGTTAAACCTATTATTCTAAGTGGATAATATGGTTCTTATCCAAATTTTACCCGTTTTTAAAAAGTTCATTATCCAACTTATTTTTTAATGGATAATATGGGTGGATAACTGTTTTGTTTTAACCATTTTGCCACCACTAGGCGCATATGAGCATCATCATTAATGAGACCTTAAGACTATACCTTCCTGCGGTCGCCACTGCAAGAAAAGTTAAGAAGGAAACCAGATTAGGGAAGTTCACCCTACCAGAAGGTATAACGATGACCGTTCCAGTGCTATCACTCCACCATGATCCTAAGATATGGGGTGAAGATGCCCATCTTTTCAAACAAGAAAGATTCTCTAAAAGGAATTGCTGAAGTCACAAATGGAAATCCATCAGCATTCCTGCCATTCAGCCTAGGACCTCGAACCTGTGTTGGCTCGAATTTTGGTATCACGGTGACCAAAATTTGCAATCTCAATGATTTTTCTGTGCTATTCCTTCATCCTATCTCCAAACTATGTCCAGTCAAATGATAAACCTGAAGCCCCAATGTGGTGTTCAGGTATTGATTCATCTCCTTCAGTGATGAACTGTGATTCAAGTTTCTTATTTCTAAGAGAAAAGATATAGCTACTTCTTGATCTGTTTTTACGAAAAAGCTCTTATGGTAATATTTTTCTTTAACTTTTGCAAATTTCCAGAATCTAATCCTATTGACCAAACAAAAGAGACGATGAAAGGAGAGAGAGTGAAACTCCAGTATTGTATAACGGATGTTTTCCCTTTTTATTACTTAAATGAGGTGATGATAATTAAAGAGAGTGAGGCTATATGGTACAGTTATCACCAAGACTGACAAGAAAAACAAGATTGGGTAAACTATTGCAATGTTGTTAGAATTATAAACACAACCCTGAGTAATCTAAAGCTTTGAAGCTGCCCAAATTCCTCTACTTTTATACAACCAAACCCAAAAAGAAAATGATGCTCTTTGATGAGCCAAATTGAAAATACAGCACAAAGTGGTCACTGAATGTCTGAATCCATTCAAAAAGAAGGCATCTTAGGTAATAGATTGAGCACCAACGCAATACTAATGGCATGTACTCCTATCTTTCATCATCCCAATGTGGCACCATCGGAGACAAGCTAAGCAAACAAAGTGGAAAATGCCACATTACCATCTTAGGTAATAGGTTGAGAATCAACGCAATAGTAGCGGCACCAATTAAGTTGTCAAACTTATATGTGCAGTCATTATTAAGGGAAAAACGTTAAATGCTTTTCCCTTTTTGATTTACAAGGTAGAAAAGTCTTATTGTAAAGTCTGGTTATTGAGATGACCACGAGAAATCGCATGGTACAAAAAATGCTTTTATTTGTTAAGTTTGAAATTTTTGTCTGACAAAAGAGAAACGTGACAAGCAGAAAGAGCGGAGATTCTAAAATTTGTCGAAGCAATGGTTCACATCATATAGCATACATGTGACTCACAGGAAATACAATAGAATCAAAAAACATATATTGAGAAACCTTTTCTGGGCAAATAATGAGAGTGTTCTAGTTTAACCTTATCCTGGAAAATTAACTTTGGCAACCATTTCAAGATTGTCGTTTAAAACATAAGAAAAGGAGGAGACTATAGTTGACAAAGCAAATATTTGACCAATTTACAAGAGGCCCCAAAAAAGAAATATGCATTAGATTAAAGATGTCAACACCATTAAAGTATCATCCAATGATTCCCAGATCCAAAAGGGGTAAAATACAAAAAGGAAAAAGGAAGGGAGTGCCATATATTCAAGACAAGATGAAGAGAGGAAAATATTTGAGATTGTAAGAACCAGATTTCAAGATCCATTAGGTCAGTAGGTGGACTAGAGCAAGTAAAAGCTGTGCAATTTCCCCTACAAAGTCGCATATAGTTTCCACCAGGTACCTTCGGAAAGTATGTGGAAAATGCGTCCTTCCAATATTCCTTTCCTCACCAGTTTGATGCAGTTCTCTACACCATTTGCATATCCAGGTAGAGAGCTACATGAACTTCTACAGCAAACAAACACTTCTCTTTCTGCCTTCAATCAAAAATAGCAGCATAATTAAGCTAGTACAAGGCACTATTACTTCTGTAAACACTTTGACAAAATAGATATTACTTCTTCATTCAACGTCTGGCATGCCCAACAGTGGATAACTGGGGTCAGCAGATCCAAGCAGGGGAATGTACTCCGATCCTCTTACATGAACACTAAAACAAGCTGCAGAACATTCAGTTGGATAAGAACTATGCCTCAACTCTTTTTCCAGATTCAGTTAGTAGTGACCAGTTATCCACTTTGTCCAAAACAAAAAAACAGCCATTGACTGCAGAAATACAACACTAAAACAATGGGTTTTAACGCGAAGATTTCTTTTCAGGATTCAGGTTCTGAATATCCAACTACCTGGTGCAACAAAAAATCTAACAATTCTACTCAAATGTAATTAAATGAGAACTATAACTAGAGTAGCACCTATAATATTCTTATAGTTAATGTACATGGAACACCCGATTGAAACACACACAAGCACGATCTATATTATTCAGTAGCCAGTGCACATTCACATTTTGGATAACCTTTTTTTTTCTCTATGCATCCAACTAAAAGCTTTGGAATATGTCCACTTTGAAATGAACAAACCTCCAAGACAGTAAACAGAAAGATTTATGCCCAACAGTACCCCCAATCCCAATCTTCTCACCTCATGACTTGCTGAAAACAGAATTTGATTACACTGTACTAAAGCAGTTTTTGACTAGTTAGGTTAGAAGTAAGGCACAAAGAGAAAGAATAAGCCATAGACTACAGCTGAAGACTATACCATTTTCTATCTTCATTACACTCTGGAGCATAGTTTCCATTTTCTGTTTCATGTCTAAAGGATCATCCATTTCAGGGGCAATAAGAGTAAGCTTCCTGTAAATTTCACGGACAAAACTGCAGATCTTCTCAGCAAAATCAAGTTCCCCTTCTGATATTCGACCAATTGCCAACCTCATTAATTCTCCTGTCAAGTCCGCAAGCTAAAGTAGAAGATTTAGCAAAATGGAAATATTTCTTATTGGGGAACAAATAGAGAACTAGTAACGCTTAAATATGAGAAAATACAAACAGGAAGATGATACACTTACGCCTAAGATATAATCTAGGATGTTAATCTGCAAGGGTTCAACAGAAGGATCACTTAATGGGAGAAAGGCTGCATTAATCTCATCAAGAGTTAATAGATTCCCTGTCTTGCAGAAATTACAAAGTGTTGCAGCTTCAACATATTCTTGAACCTATAAGTTGGAAGCACATACAAGCTAAGTCGAATTGGATTATTTAAGAGTCTCCAAAAGCAAAATAAGACCAACTGACCCACCCCAGGAGAATATGCTCGTCTTAACTTCCAGAAATCAGTCCCTTGGAGTTCCTTTACTAGCCGGGACACATATTGATCAGTCACAGCTGCCAGATCTTTAACTGCTTTATCCAGAACTTCCTCTTTGTTGTGCTTGCTTATTCTGTTAATGAAGGAAGCGAAGAAAAAGAAATTGACTGGGAAACTTTTCACCTTACATAAGTCATAAAAACCTAATTAAGTCAAGCAGATAAATAGCTATCCAACATTTGACACTTCTTGGCTGCATAGATTAAAAAAGTACTCATAGAGATTGCACCTGTGCACTTGAAAAATAACCTTCTTGCTATTCATAGTAATATCACGACTTGCTTTCACCACCCTTTCTCGTTTATCATTCTGCAACATAAAGAGTAAAAATTCATATATGATGATTCCATGTTTTTGATGGCTTTTGAACTCAAAGATGACCTTTCTCCATCATCATGATCATCATCAACAACAACAACAACAACAACAACAACAACAACAACAACAACAACAACAGACCCAATGTAATCCCACAAGTGGGGTCTAGGGAGGGTCGTGTATACTTAGACCTTTCTCCATCGCCAATTTAATTAGATCTATAATCAGCTCACATAAAAACTTCATACTGGAACTAGCTAGACAAAATTCTCAAGTGTTCTATGCCATCACAACCCTCGCTCCAGATCTTTTTTTAGTAACGGTGGTGCCCGATCGGCTTGCACGCACCTCAATTACTCTACCGAATACCTACTACCTCCCACAAAACTGAGACTTATCTCTTTCAAGCATGGATACTTTCAGACATATGTTCTCAAGTTTCGACACAGTGAGAGCCATCTGAATATGTGTAACTACAAAAGTATGTGGAATATATAGGATACATCCTTTCAAAAGTAAATTTCTCTTTTCTTAATTATCAAAAAAATAATAATAAACTTTATTTTTCTTGTTTTTGATTGGTTAACAGAACCATCTAATCCATAAAGTTCAAAATTGCACAATAGTATATGATGTTTGGACTCCCAAAATAAAGCGGCACAACCAAATCGCTTGGCTAACTTGGGTATAAAATATAAAGTTGCAAAATCAAAGATAATAAGTTCGAAGTCCGCCATCCAAGCCATAGGATCGTAGGTTTACAACAGAAATTCCAATTTAATTATCCTTTTATTAGCTGAGTACCAATACAAATTTTGCATTAAAATGTAAAGAATCTTAATGTAATGCTCTTCTTCTCAATGTCTCAAAAAACAATCAGCTAAATCTCAATGCAAATTAGCAGGAGTCAGGCTCTACGAATCTTTTGTATCTATTTTACTCTATATCATTCCAAAACACGACTTTAAAGGCTATGAATTCTTTTAGTCCTAGTCTACTAACATTTTCCCATCTCATGTCCTCCCTTCGGTGTGCCGAAACTTAAAACAATTAATAGGGCGTTTTTCTGCTCGAAAACACCAATTCCGAAATGAACAGCTTTTAATTAACAACAAAGCAAATGCGAAAATGTGAACATAGACAAAGAGAGCAAAAAAGAGAGAAAGGGAAGAAGCTTAACAAGGTTATTGAGGTAATCCGCATATTTGGAGAATGCGTCTTTCATTGATGATGACTCGGTCTCAGTTTCAGTACTCATTGTCCTTGCTCTCTTCATCGCGCTTTGCCAAGTTGCTCCTGCCACTACTCAACAAAATGAACGAAAAATTCAAACTCTTTTCACAAACCCAGAGAAAAGGGGAAGAGTGAATTAGGGTTTGTGTTAGAGACGACTTACAGTGACGAATGCGCGGTTTAGGAGCCATTACTACGAGTGACAACTTGTAGGCGTGGAGCAACATGTGTCCCTTCGCACACCAAAAAAACTGTTAGCATCTTCTAATTAATTAGCTTCTCTTCTTTTCTTTTCTTTTCTTTTCTTTTCCTTTTCTTTTCTTTTGTTTCATCTACTTTATCTTTTTATTTTTCTTTCTCTTGTTGTTATTTTCTCTTTAAACCAAACCACTCATCCGCAAGTCACATATCATCAAATAAACATATGCGAAGCATCAAATAGGGGAACGAAATTTTAATGCTCAACATGATTTATCGGATCGTTACATTCTCCACCTCTTAAATAAACATTCGTCCTCGAACGGGTTTAGAAATATACCTAAGATGCTGAAAAGATGTGTATATCTGCTCTGCATATCTGACTCGGTCTCCCGAGTAGCCTCCTCGCTTAGTTGGCCTCTCCAAAGCACCTTCACCGACGCGATCTCCTTTGATCTCAACTTCTGAACCTACCTATCCAAAAAGGCCACTAACTTTTCTTAATAAGCCAGATTCTCATCTAACTTCACTGTGCTGAAGTTCAAATCATCTTCATGATACTTCTGGAGCAGAGAAACATGGAATACCGGATGAACTCCCGCAAGACTAGGAGGCAAAGGAAGCCTATAAACAACCTCACCCACTCTTTCTAATACATATAATTGACCAATAAATCTCGGACTTAGTTTACCTTTCTTCCTAAACCTCACTATTCACTTCATGGGTAAAATATTCAGAAATACCTTCTTACTCCATAAATGTTGCATCGTGAACCTTCTTGTCCGCATAACTCTTTTGCCTGGACTAAGTTGTACAAAGTTGCTCCTGAATCAACTTCACGTTCTCAAAAACGTCACGAACCAAATCAAGTGTCTAACAACCTAGCCTCACTAGGCTCAAACCAACCAATAGGAGATCCACAATGCCTACCATGCAAAGCCTCATACGGAGCCATCTAAATGCCGAGCCGGTAATTGTTGTTTTATGCAAACTCTGCCAATGGTAGAAATTGGTCCTAATAACCCCCAAAGTCAATCACACAAGCTCTCAACATATCCTCAAGAACCTGAATAGTCTGCTCGGACTGACCATCTGTCTATGGGTGAAAAGTTATTCTAAGCTCCACCTATCTATCCAACTCACGCGGAACAACTTTTCAAAAGTGAGAAGTTAACAGAGTACCCCAGTCTGAAATGATAGAAACAGGCACACAATGCAAATGAACAATCTCTCGGATGTAGATCTATGCCAACTTCTCTTAAGTATATGTAGTCAACACCAGTATAAAATGCATGGACTTGGTCAATCTATCAACAATGACCCAAATGGCATCAAGCTTCTTAAAAGTCAATGGAAAGCCTGCTACGAAGTCCATAATAACACGCTCCTACTTCTACTCCGGTATAACAAACCTCTGAGTCAAACCATCTGGTTTCTGATGTTCATATTTCACTTGCTGAAAATTCAAACACCGTGAAATATGCCCAACAATGTCCTCCTTCATTTTCTTCCATAAGTAATCATGCTTCAAATTATGATACATCTTCATGAGATCGAGATGAATAGAACACTTCAAATTGTGAGCCTCCTCAAGAATCAACACCCTTAAACCATCAACATTAGGAACACAAACCGACCCTGGAGTAATAATACACCATCGTCTTTAATAAACATCTTCTTAGTAGCACCTCATTGCACCGTGCCTTAAGCACCGACAGATATGTATTATCATACTAGCTAGCCTTAATACACTCAAACAACGACGACAATGCAAGCACACAAGTAAGAACTCTACGAGGCTCAAAAATGTCTAATCTCACAAATCTGTTGGCCAATGCCTGGAACTCCATTGCCGAAGGCCTCTCCTCAGCTGGAATAAATTTCAAACTCCCATGCTCTCCTCTATTCAAGCCATCTGCTACCATATTCGCCCTACTAGAGTGATATAATATAGTAATATCATAATTCTTAAGCAACTCATGCCACATCTACTGCCTCAAATTCAAATTCTTTTACTTGAACAACTGTTGAAGACTCATATGACCAGTGTATACCTCGAATGACACACGGTACAAGTAAGCCTCTAACTCTGAAGTGCATGCACAATAGCTGCCAATACCAAATCATGAACTGAATAATTTTTCTCACGAGGTTTCAACTGTCGTGACAAATAAACAATCACCCTACCCTTCTGTATCAATACCGTTCCAAGACCAATACAAGAAGCATCACAATACACCATCTATGACCCATAATTTATGGGTAACGCCAACACTAGAGTTTTAGTCAAAGCAGTCTTAAGCTTCGGATAGATCTTCTCACACTCGTCGAAACATCTAAAAGGAGCAACCTTCTAAGTCAACTTAGTTAATAGGACTGCAATAGATGAAACCGCTCCACAAAGCTATAATAGTAGCATGCCAAGCTGAACAAACTCATGATATATGTAGCTGTAGAAGGTCTCGGCCAATTCTAAACCGCCTCAATTTTCTTCGAATCAATCTTTATACCATCACTAGACACAACATGACCCAATAATGCAACTAAATTCAACTAAAACTCACACTTAGAAAATATAGCATAAAGTTGCTTCTCTTTCAAAGTCTTAAGCACAATCCTCAAATGATGCTCATGCCCCTCCCTACTATGAGAGTAAACCAAGATATCATCAATGAACAAAATCACAAAAGCGTCCAAATAAAACTTGAACACCCTGTTCATCAAATGATGAACGCCACTGGAGCATTAGTCAAACCAAATTACATCTCCAAGAACTCATAATGACCATATCAAGTCCTAAAAGTTGTCTTACGGATATTTGAAGCTCTAATCTTCAACTGGTGGTAACCCCATATCAAGTAAATCTTAGAGAACACCTTATCCCCTGGAAGTTGATTAAAAAAATCATTAATACGAAGCAATAGATACTTGTTCTTGATAATAACCTTGTTCAACTACCTGTAAATCAATGCGCATCATCATAGTGCCATCTTTCTTCTTCACAAATAACACTTGCACCCCCAAAGAGAAACAATAAGTCTAATGAATCCCTTATCAAGCAAGTCTTAAAATTGTTCCTTCAACTAAGCTAGAGCCAAGCGATACGGTGGAATAGATTTGGACTGGGTACCCGGAACGAAGTCAATGAAAAATCAATATCTCTATGTTGTGGCATGCCTGGGAAATCTGTAAGAAACACCTCCGGAAACTCCCTAACAACCGGTACTAAATCCATGGGAGGAACCTCTGGACAAGAATCCCAAATAATAGCTAAATATGCCAGACACCCTTTCTCGACCATACCTACGCCTTTAGAAATGAAATCACCTTACCTGTAGAATGACCAAGTGACCCCCTCCACTCAAGTCTAGGTAATCTTAGCATAGCCAAAGTCACAGTCTTGACGTGACAATCCAAGATTGCATGATATGAAGATAACCAATCCATGCCAAGAATTACCTCTAAGTCCACCATGTCCAATAACAAGAGATCAACCATAGTATAATACCCATTAACAGTAACCACACAAGACAAATAGACACAATCTACCATACTAGAATCTCCAATAGGTGTAGACACATAAACAGGAATATCCAAAGAATCAAGAGGCATATCCAAATATGATGCAAAGTAAGATGATACATACGAATAAGTAGAACCCGGATCGAATAATATTGAAGCATTTCTATGACAGACTGAAACAATAGTTGTGATGACTGCATCAAAGGCAACTACCTCAGGTCTACTAGGGGAAGCATTACAACAAGCCTAACCTCCACCTCTAGGACGACCTCTACATGCCTGACCTCCACCTCTAACTGTTGGGCTGGTAGTGTATCAACTGTTGCTAGAATCATTGCTTGAGTGCCCTGCTATGGTATAACACTCTACAATCTGGAACATTTCATCTTGAGGTATCCCAAATATCCACACTCAAAACATCCTCTCCACTGACGAGGCTATTGAACCTGTCTGACCCCGATGATCTGGATACCCACTGAATTAACCCTGCCCTAAAGGTGCATTGTAAGGACCATAATATGAAGGTGCACTATATAGCAATTATCTATATTGAGCACTATATGAACTGTGACTGGCAGGTGTGCCGCGGGAGATCTAAAGTGTTGATTAAACTAGTCTGGCATGATGCTCTCTATCATAATATCCCTTGCCTCCAGATGAGGCACCACTAAATCCTCCGGTAGTACGAGGCTTCTTGGCCTCGTGCTCCTCCCTACCTTGTATACGGATGCACTCTAGTCTCCTAGTAACTTCAAGTGCCTGATGAAAAGTGGTCTCTATCTCAGCCTCACGCGCCATTCCAAGCCTGATACCGAAGTGAAGACCCTCAATGAACCTCTGCACCTTCTTCTTCTCGTTGGAAACCAAAGAACTTGAATAGCATGATAACTGTGTGAACCTCATCTCATGCTGAGTAACTGAGATGCTACCCTGAGCTAAATGCTCAAACTGTCTACAGAGCTCATTTCCCCTTGTGAGTAGGATGAACTTCTCTAAGAAGAAATGCATAAATTGAGCCCATGAGAAAGAAAGTGATCCTGCTGGCCTATCCTCCTCGTAAGTCTGCCACCATCTCTTGGTTGTCCCTTTTGGTTGAAAAGTAGTGAAATCAACTCCATTGGACTCCACAAGTCCCAAATCGCATAGAATCTAATGACACATATCCAAGAAATCATGGGCATCCTTTAAAGGATCACCCTCAAAGTGTGAGGGCTACAACTTTTGGAACTTATCCATCCTCTTCTTCTCATCCACAGACATAACAGGCCTAACCTTAGGCCGTGCTGCAATGATAGGTTGAACTACACCAGCTAGTAGGACTCCCAGAGTCTGAAATCTGTGAACCATCTGCTCTTAAGATGGACAACGAGGATCTGAGCTCATCCCCCAGCCTAAGAATTAGCTGGTGCCATAGGAAGTACACCTGCCTAAGCCATACTCTCAATGAAACTAACTATATGGATTAAAGCATCCTGAAGGACTAGGTAACAATAAACTACTCTAGGATCTGTGCTGGCCCTACCAGCTCATCCTGAACTA